TTTAAAATGTGCACCCGATAGGCGTCTGTCGATTCATCAAATAATACTTTGCAAAAAACAAACGGGCTAGCCGCAAACGTCCGTGCCGTATAGCGAGAATAACCCTTTATAGGTAGGTACAATTCATCTTGAGGATTGATGAGCGTTTGCCTCAAAAAAGATTTTACTTGCTTTCCCATCCATCCAATATTGGACATTATTCTACTGAAGTTTGCTCCCGGAATTTTCTACATTTTCAAAAAATCCTTAAGGTTGATTTATGCGGCGGCTTGTTGCTCAGTGGCCACCGACTGTGTCTCAGCGCCATCCTTCTCGTGAATGGCCAACCACGGCAGTCGCTTTTGAAGTTCGATCCTGAAAATCCGGGTGAAGAACCACGGAAATATTCACTATGAACCTACCGGAACTTCGGGTGACTGATAGCGTAGATGTAGGGGTCGATGCAGGCCACCAATTTGCAATTCAAGGCCGGAATCATTGAGACTGCGGGGGTAAGCAAAGATTGGTCGCCGAAGGCCCCAATTAGAGCGAGCACCGCGTAGGGAGTCCAGGAAACAACGAATAGGAAGCAGACGGTGATTGCGGCCTTGGCTATTCGCAATTCTGCAGATTCGGAGTTGTGTTGTTGGTTGGCTCTTAGGGATTCCACGTTCATTTTTTTCGCCTAAATTCCTTGGTTTACGCACCGAATATTAGGCTTCTATCATACCTACCTGTTCCCTTAAGGCCTTCTCATGACTGAAGACCTTGCTGACGATCTGGCTGTAGAAGTAGATGATCATCAGCATGGGAATCACATAGGAAAAAGTGAAAATCGCCCCGATAAACAGGCGATTGTCGAATGTTCTGGTAAGGTAGTCAAAAGAGCAGGCAGTAAGAAATCCCTCTAAAAAGCGCCGCGTTGCTAACGGGAGGTGACCAGATTTAAGGGCTTACCGGGCACATATCTTCCCCAGATCTCCAGAATGGGCATCACCACCCATGGGACAGTGTAGAACCAAATGAGAAGAACAATTAGCATGGCCTTGGTTCGTGTAATTTTGCCATCGAATGGCTTCGTTATGGTGCTGTACCGGTCGTATGCAATAGCAGCGTTCGTCATTCCAGCCCCTATTCCTGAAAGGGTGCCCATGCCGGCAAAGACTTGGCACCCCGTGTGGCCTGTGGCGAACCCGAAGTGGAAGGAATTGTAAAGGAAAATCGGCGCTTTCAGCATCATCATAAAGTCGCAAAAGGCCAAATTTACCACGAACATGTTGGAGGCAGTTCTTAAGGACTTTGCCCTGAAATGCCTGGTTTGTTCAGTTTGCAACTTCCACTCCCCGCCCAGTCTTACGTGGTAAAAATCCACAACACCAACCCATTGCCGATCATTGAAGCCACGAAAAAGAACACGTAGATCATTCCTAACAGCATATGCAAGCTCTTGTCGGGCTCCGGATAAATCAGCCAATGGTCAGGGATATGGGACAGATCTTCCGGCCCCAGGTTCCAGCCCAAAGTGTGCGGAATGCCAGAAGCATCTTTTATTCTGTTCACCACCGATGAAGCAATTAATAGCTTAAAAGAGGAAAGATGTCTTACCGAGCGTCGTAATATGGGTCTCTAGTCCAGTTGAAAACACTCATTTTCTAGCCTAAACACTATGGGAAGACTGGAGCGGTCATTCCGTGCATTGGGACTTTTATGGCCTTCATGCAGTTTAATTGAATTAGATAAAATCAGGGAATTCAATCAGTTTAATCCGTATTTGTGGATGAAAATCTTGTTACCTATAAGGGTTTTCATTAAACCCTTATCAAATTTATTCCTGGGTTTCAGTCATTTATTGTCTCTATTTATTAATGAAAATACGTTTCGGTGTATTTTTCCACCATCATCAGTTTTTATGTGTAGCGTTGTTGCTGCTTTAAGCCTTGCCATGCAAAAAAATTAATAAATAGAGACAATAAATGACTGAAACCCAGGAATAAATTTGATTTGGAATTGAAACACAGTCAGGAAAGTGTATACATTAAACCCTTATAAAGTGCAAGTGGGAGTTTTAGTTGTTATACAGGGCAAGTGAGAGAGCCTCTAAATAAAATTTTATTCGGGCATTTTGCCTCAAACTTTGGGCTTCTGAAAAAACGCTGACGTCGATATAATTTTAGAATAACCGTTGAAAAAACAGTAAATTTTGCGACAACCAGCGCTGGCCCACCTTTAACATACATATAACTTTCCTAGACTATTACTCATCCTTTGTCCAGATTAGCCCTGAGTTGCTACTTTGGATGCAAATAAAAGGCAGAAACAAACTATTAATTCTCTATTCACACAACTTAATATGCAGTCGATACCAACAGGAAATTAAAAATAAATACCATCACAGAACACTCGCGAAACAAAGGCGCAGTTCTATTTATTTGAGCTGGAACTGTTCGCTGGTACTTTCTCGAACAGTTTGAAATCCAGAGGTTTGTCGTATCCCATCAGCTTGGCGTAATGTTCCGGGTATTGGAACGATTTGGGGTCGACAAACATTGGCTTTCCTTTGACGTGGAAAGTGACGAACATGCCTGGCACGTCTGGAACGTAGACATCGTCCGGCTTGAATTCCAACTGAAAATTACTATTTGTAAGATGGGGGCCCCTCTAGATCAAGTCATCTATTCGTACTTGTTTAACTATGCAGAAAAAGTTCAGTGTTTTCGCCGTATAAGTCTGAGTATCCTCGTTGTAGCTCAGTTCAGTTATGTATTTCCTGCTAACCATGTGCAGCAAAAACGGCGTGACCACTGTGAAGAATCCAATAAAGGAGTATGCGGCTAGTATGATGGGTACGCTACCCGTGACCACGATCTCCTTATAAAGAATGGGCTGCATGAAAAGCCCCACAATACTAGTCGATAGCGAAAACACCTGAAAACGCGCAAATAAGCAGGAAGTCTGGATTGTCATCACGAAGCTTACCTTGACGGCCTTCATGTGGGGTGCCAGAATGCCGGAATATACTCGTTTAATGGGATTTTTCTGCTTGCAAGTGGTTTTGTTGGAATTTGTTGAAAACCAGCTACATTGAGCAACAGTTGCGGGCTTGAAGTAGCCCTTGGTTAATAGGGCGGTTTCAGGGGTCAGAAACATTAACCTGGCATGCCTGATGCAATTGAGGGCAACTGGGAGGGCACAGCATAATTTTAAAGACATTTTTCAGGGAAATTTAAAAGTCTCTCTAGATCTAACCTTTAAATTTGACCAAAGCGCAATGCATAACAAACACATGCAATCTGACAGTCAAGGGCGTTAGAACGTTGCCACTGCCCGATATTCCTTTGAGTTTTCTTATAATTTAAAACCATATGGACTACAGTTTACGAACGAAGCTGCTACGTAAGTTAGCTGAGACTGCCAGCAATTAGTTTTGCAGAAAATTTTGCATCAAGTAAGGTTAATTTTTATGAGGTGCTTAGATAAGTAGCAACATGGGCTGTCAATGTTTCTCCAGTTGTCATAGTATTTGTTTTGAGTGTTCTTTCCTATAGATCAGTAATTGCAAATTTCCTCATTACATCGAATTCCCCTCACCAAGGAGGCCTGATGACCACTAATGCCAGTTAAAGACCCCTGTAAGGTATTTGCCTGTCGCATTCAAGCCTGCCTCAATGGTACGCCCTAAGTTTCTAACCTCAATTGATCTAATGCACGTTTTTAGTTCATTATTATATTACATAACGTTTATCTTTACAGAGAACAACTATCAGGAATCGGCCTGCCAGCATGCTATAGAATCGATGCGTGAATGCTGCCGGCAGTGGAAAGACAAAAGTTTCGTATGTGAGGGAATTGACATTGCCCAGAAGCCTTCAGAGAAGAATGAATCAAAATAGATACAATATAAAAAAGCAGACGTTCACTCAGAGACATTATATGTTGATTAATGCCGTTCTTTCGGTGCTTGGACTTGGAATATTGTTTTCGCGGCCGATTTACGACTCGTTTAGCTACTCTTCAGAGGAAATTGAAGATCTGCGCGAAAAGGTCCTAAGAGATCGCAAACTCAAACAGGAAAAACTAGCAGAGGAGAAGAAGCAGGCAGAGGCTGCAAAGAAAGAGGCAGAAGCTGCGAATAAAATCGCAGAGGCTGCGAAGAAAGAAGCAGAATCTGCAAAGAAACAGTGAAGATGGAATCAGTAAGTAAAGCCAAGCAAAGGTTCAAACAGTATCCTTTAATATTTGGCAAGTGTGGAAAAGAGGCCAGTGTCTACGCCACGTGTGTGTTAAAACAGGACAATCTGATGAAAGACAACTGTGTGACTGAGTTTCAAGGCTTTAAAACCTGCTTGCAGATGAGTGCGGCCAAATTGAAAACCAGGATTTAGTAGCAAGTGCTTTAGTAGATAAAAATGCTCAAAAATATTCAGGAACTGGCATCAAAGCCGCTTTGTGTTCTAGAGAAATGGTTCAAAGCCGACATGGTGACACATATAATAGTCTCCTCAATGATCAGGCTGTGTCTAGTTGTTTATGGGGCCTTTCACGACCAGCATTACGAGGTACCGTACACAGACGTTGATTATAAAGTTTTCACCGACGCTGCCAGACATGTAGTCCAGGGGGGCTCTCCATATGACCGGCACACATTTCGCTATTCGCCGTTGATTGCGATTTTGCTAACGCCCAACGTGTTTTTTCATCCAATGTTTGGCAAAATCATTTTCTGCGAAGTGGATTTGGTGGTGGCCTATTTTATCCGGCGCCTCGTTTATTTGAACGTCTTTGAATGGATGTCCAAGTATGAGAGCTACGCTTCGGAAAAAGCGCCATTGGATGCCATTGAAGAGAAAAAACCAATCAAGACCAGGAAAAGGAAAGGCATGCCAAGCAAGTACAATGTAAAGGTTCAAACTGCAATTTATTGGGCGCACAGAGCCATGCTCTTTTGGCTGTATAACCCGTTGACTATGGCAATTTCCACGAGAGGTAACTCGGACTCTATAGCATGTCTTTTGGTAGTGCTCACCCTTTATGGGATTCAATCCAACTGGCATCCCTTTTTAGTTGGGTTGTTGCACGGTTTTTCTGTCCATTTCAGGATTTACCCTGTTATCTACAGCCTGCTGTTTTTCATGTATTACAGTGGCTTTGCTTATGAGTTTGAGCTTCCTAGCTTTCCTCAGTACAAGGCCATTAAGAGCGAGAAGAAAACCAAGAAGAACAAGCTCGCTAAGCGGGTAGACAGTGGGGAAGTTTGCCGGAGAAACCCGGAAAGCTTGAAGATTTTTGCCACTAGCTTCTGGTGGTACCTCTGGCCGAATACCCAGCAGCTGATGCTTGTGATGGGCGCCGCATGTTCTCTGCTTAGTCTAACCGGAGTTTTCTACTACATGTATGGCTACAAGTTCCTTTACGAATCCCTCATCTATCACCTGGTTAGGGTGGACTTTAAGCACAACTTTTCCTTGTATTTCTACTTGCAGTATCTCACGGCCTTCGTCACCATGCCCATGTGGTTTACCGGCAATTTCTGGCAACCCATCCTGATCAACCTGCCTCCCATTGTGCTAATTTTGAACTTTTCCTTCCGTTACGGCCTGAATAAGTTCTCCCTGAACTTTGGCGTGTTGGCGCAGACCATAGTTTTCGTCATTTTCAACAAAGTGATCACTTCGCAGTACTTTGTGTGGATTATGGGCGTTCTGCCGTTGTGCATTTGGCAAATAAAGCTCAGCAAAGCAGAAGTGGTGGCTATGACAGTGATCTGGTTTGCTGCTCAAGGCGCCTGGCTAGTTCCAGCCTATTTGCTGGAATTTCGGGGCGAGGACACATTTTTGTACATCTGGATACAGAGTGTGTCGCTGTTTTGCGCCCACATCGGAATCTTCGGTCGATTAGTGAAAAATTTCATTTTGCCAATGGGCGTCTTGAAGAACTACAATGGGCGCTCGCTGGCCAGCTCAATATTTCAGTCTGACTGAGTCGGGACTTTTATATTCAATGTAGTAGTGATTGTTTATTTAGTCAGTAATCCAAAAATTGGCGCCAAATAGGGTAAGGAGTGGCTGATTGTTAGATTTAAATAAATTGATGTTCCTGATGCTGATTTGTTCTTATCAACGACTACTAATATAAATCTATATAAATAGTTCCCTTAAAAAATAACATCCCCAACAACTAGAGGCGACGATGCCAAACGTGCCTACTTGTTTACTGTAAAAACAACAACAATGTAAATATGGGTGTTAAATATTCATTATTATAGTGTTGAGCCGTAATTATATAACAAACAAACAATAGTTTTACATTTCTATATCTGGCAGTCATTAGTTTTTCATAATTAAGTCGTTACGCGTTATAAAGTCCATCTAAATACGGAACCAAAGACCCGACAACATTGCGCTTTACTGCGAATGTCAGTTGAAGGGCCGGTAAGTTATAAAATATTTTGATTTCTCCAAGTTTAGAGCGGTTTGTGGGTGCGATAAACTTATTATGAATCAAGTTTATCATGGGAAGAGTTTGTTACATCTGTAATATAAATGACCCAGGCCATATAGTACCAGGGACTGACAATTCAACCTTTACAGGTAAGCGCTGATTTTCATTCATACATTTTCAAGTTTACATTTACCATTTGGAGTGAGTGGTTGCGTTTGCTTCTTGGTAGAAAGTTTTATGCATTTCTATGTATGTATAACATAATTTATCATCATAAAAATATATTATCAGTAATTGAAAATTTAAATTCAAAATTCCTGCAAAACCAGTTCATGAAAGTTTAATGCGTTTTAAACTCATATATTTATGGTTAAATCAAAGTCAATGTTTCCAAGCCTGTAAAGTATATAAGTAAAATAGTCGCCAAAGTAAAATTATAAAGTTAGTAAATTTCTCATAATTTTTACGCATATGACAGTCCACCACAACAAACGGCGGCCATTTTTAACAGTTGTTCTTGCCGCGCCTGACCCTGGGATTTACGAATGATTGCGGTGTCTATTTATATTAGTAGTTGTTGGTTCTTTTCCTTCCACCAAAGTTTTGCAACGGAAATCTAAATCTGGCACAGTTCAGTTGTAAAAATATGCTCTTTGAGGAGTTGTATCATGTTAATGTAGCAAGTCACAGTTCTT